CCTCTCCACAGACGTGAACCAGTACCCCCTGGTGGAGACTACACGTAAGTAGCAGCTTCGAGGAGAAGGTGGCTGCCTGGGAGGAGGGGTTGGCCTTCCCTTGGTTTCCCCTAAGGCTCCCAGTGTCAGGCAAGCAAGGGCAATCGTGCTTCGAGGAGAAGGTGGCTGCCTGGGAGGAGGGGTTGGCCTTCCCTTGGCTTTCCCCTAAGGCTCCCAGTGTCAGGCAAGCAAGGGCAATCGTGGTGTCAGATCTGCTCCTTAACCCAGGCTCTCCAATTGGGTGGCTGTGTGAGTTGGGGCCAGTGCCTTAATTTCTCTGAGTTTCATTTCTTCGTGGAGAAAATGGACCTAGAAACCACTTCTGGAGAACGTAGGGTCATATAAAGATAAGGGGTGTTTGTAAGATGACCCAGGACTGGTTCTTTAGATTCTGGGGACCAAGACTCCTGGGGCTACTACTAAGGTCTTCTAGAAGCTTCTCTCTGCATCCATGAATGCTCCACCCACCCCTTTCAGTTGCCAAGAAGAATACATCCTTTTAAAGACAGATGAATGGTGTCCAGTCTTAGGGAGGAATCTAACCCGAGCACCCTCTCCAGCTCATAAAGCATAGTACCCAAGTGGGGGAGCTAACCGAGGTAGGGGAGGAGCTGCCTGAACCTCAGCAGAGCACTTATCCATCCATGCGTCCCCTCTCTGCAGATAAGGTGAGGTGCACACTTGGCAGGGGTAGCACTGGTGCCCATTTTCCCGTGAGCAGGCCCCTTGAGCGGTGAGCAACAGGCACAACCTTTGCATCCTGGTTTATAAGAGCTAGTCCCAGTACAGCCTCCAAAGCCACAGAGAAACCCTGCCTCGAACCACCCCCCGCCCTCCCAAAAAGAAGAATAAAGTCAGTCACCAGCAAGAGAAAGAATGCTGGCTATACCTCTTGGGGTCCATGAACTGCAGTATTCTTGTATGGAAAACATGGAGGGTCACCATAGGCTCCCCGCCAACATTAAGGATGGCCCTGCCAAGAGGCTTCACTTCCTAGAATTGGTTTTGGTCACAGAACTCCCAACAAGACAGGCCTTGGCTCTGGATCCCCACAGCCCACCCAGGAAATAGATGGTTTCGAAAATGAGGGAAGGCACTTCTATTGTATTATCCAGTTGCCAAGTCTGTTTGTGGTATTAGGGACTGAATCTAGGGCCCGGGGCATGCTAAGCAAACCTCCTGCCACTGAGCCACAGCCATGTCTAGTCCTAGGGTTTTTATTTACTGGAGAAAAGAGAAAATACCAAGCTGTATCCTTGGTGAAGAACGCCTACCAACTCTTGGGATGCCTGTAAACTCCCATCATGTATCCAGGCTAGTCAGGCTGGCTTAGCCTCAGCACTTAGTAGGACCAGCACTCAGTAGGAGCTCAGGTTATAGTGAGCCTCAGGGCTCACTCTTCCACTGACTTGACTCAGATTTTAAACAACTAGATGGAACACAGAGGAGAAAACCCAGCTGTGACACCCAAATGCCAAGAGGCTAATGTCCCCAGCTTTCCCCTCCTAAAATGGGAGGTTCGGGTATCAGAACATCTGCTAGCCCACTGGCAGCCTTGCCTGGCTGCCCTCAGCTGCCGTGTCCATGTGGGAGCGGAATGGTGTAGGGCAACAATTAACCCACCAAAGCCTGTTTTCTCTTCTGTAAACTGTGTGATCAGCATCCTTAAAAGACCGCACACAAGCTTATGCTAAGTTTCCTTAGACATGAGAGCACACAGCATTTTCTCGTCACATAGTAGGTGCTCAGCAAATGTGACTCCCATGTTCGTGACGTGTCCCTCCTTCTGTACCGTCTAGAGTCTCAGACCTTAGTGGGGGTTGTAAAAAGGGCCCACTTGGTGCAAGCGCTTCAGACTGAGCCATCGTCCTGGGCTCCAGGCAAACAGGTGGGTCCCCCTGCCAGGTGTGGGGACAGGGTGGGGCTGGTGAGCTGGGCTGTGAAGGGAGGAGATGGCTAACCTCTTAGGGAGAGGAATTTGGAGAGCAGCATCTAGAAGCTGGTGGCTGGCCAGGGCCCCCATGGTCCTTTCCCCATCCCCAGCCCTGTCTCCAGGATATCTTGGCTAATGGCTGCCCCACCCAACCAGTGACACTGCAGTTATCCCCAGAGGCCACCCTGCATGAGGTAAAGGGAGAGTTAGAGCATGGGGAGGCCTGATGGGGAAGTTCCTTCCGGCTGAGGGTTCACTCAGCAATTCATGTGGACTCTGGCTACCCCTAGTGGTCAGATTGCACATTGCAGTCTGCTCACCAGACTCTGAGGAAGGTGTGTGTGTGGGCATGGCTACCCCTAGTGGTCAGATTGCACATTGCAGTCTGCTCACCAGACTCGGAGGAAGGTGTGTGTGTGGGCGGGCGGAGGGATGTCAGCCTTTCCTCTCAATCCCCCTCCAGACACACAACCTCTTTGAGCTGTTGAACCTTCAGTTGCTGTTCGTGACGTCATGGGGCAGAGCTGTGGGCTCTGTGACCTGGGTGGAGGTACTAGGAACTTGAGGGTGTGGCAAAGCTGAGGATGTGGGAGCATCAAATTTCTTCCTGCCCAAGCTTAAGGACTCTTATGTAACCCGCTTTCCGGATGACAGTGCCCACTGGGCCTGGGACCCCAATCAACACACTGGCACTCTCCGGGTTCATTGACTCTGTCTATGCATGGGGCAGGACCCTGCTCTAAATCTTCCCTAGGGAAGGAAGCCACCAGTTCCTAAGCCCCTGAGTGCGGAGGTCCTCACCTCCTTTAACTGTTTCTCCTCCCTATCCTCTACTTCTCTGTTAGTTGAAGAAAGCAATTTCAACCCTGACCAATCCGCCTACCCACAAGTGAGTCTTTTTGTGGGGGGCAGCCGGGTTGGGGAGCAGCCTGGTAGGGTGGTAGAGGGGTGTGGTTGTCAGGAACCTA